CAAGTGCTTAGTTTGAAGAAGCATGTCAAGTCCGAGTGAAGAAGTCCCATTAGAAATTGGAAGCTTTCCTTCGATCTGATTGTCAGCTATATCGAACCAATATAGGTTCGATAATCGTCCAATTGAAGGCGGAATTGTTCCACTAAATTGATTGAGATTCAGGGAACTGCAATAAGAAACACAAATTAACACTAATGAGTTTAGAGAGTTTTGAAAGTGTAAAATAGAAAAGAGAACAGTGTATATCATATATAATTAGAGAGTTTTCTTTCCATCTAGGATGTACAAATCATCAAAACAAAAAAATGTTACATTAAAATTTATAATAAATAATCATTTATATTATCTTTTTATATTTAATATTTTTTCATAATTATTAGAGATTAAAATTGAATTAGAAAAACACTAGAGTATATTCTAGTGTTTATAATAGGATAGTTCCGTAAAAATACACTAAGTAAATTTGTTTTACTATTTTAATATACCATCTTATTTTTCACTTCCCAAAAAAATACATCAATTAATATTTTATTTTGATATAAGAAATCAATTTTCATATTGTACCGATTTAACACCATATAACTTAATGCAAATAAAAACTCTAAGAATTCCATGATTTAACATACACCAAATAATTCTTTTTAAATTACCTTTTTGTAATCTTTAGAATTAGTTGGAATTATTAAAATATTTTGGCATTTTAGTTTTTTTTCTTGGTGATAAATCTTAGTTAAGTCAATTGTGTTAAATGGGCACAATTCAAGAAGTTTTATAACAAAAAATAATTGATGTATTTTTTTAGGGGTTTTTTGAAAAATACACCGATTAAGTTTGAGAATTTGAAAAATACACCTTATTTTTTTTTTTTTTGAAAAATAGCTCTTTTCATAGTTGAAAAGACTTTTTTATCCACATTTGATTTTAATACTAATAATTCGTTTAAATAATTATTGTTAATATTAATTTTTATTTTATTTAAGATAAAGTTGAATTATTGATTAAAAATTAGTTAATTCGTATATAAAATTGTCACCAATATTTTTATTTTTTATTTTGAGATAAAAATGTATGTTG